CAGTACATCATTAGGTCTCACGACAAGATACCTATACTTTAATTAAATTTCAGGGGACGGCGTGATCGAGTCGGTAAAGCTCATTGTTGCTAAACCGAGAAGATGAGACTCGTTATCTGGGGACAACCACTCTTCTAGGAGAGACAACTCAAAAATTAAATAACTGCTGCCTTGTAGTTTTTTCTTGGTTGGACAAAGGCTATGGAAGCAAATCCAAAAAAGAAAAGCAGGCTGCAATCGGAGTCAACGCCTTTATTGCGCATAACAAGTTGACACGTAATACTTAATTGTGTTTTAGGGGACCCTTTCCAACATTAAAATTAAGAACGAAGAAGAAGAGTTAAATTTCTTTTTAAAAAAACCAGGTCCTAACTTCTTCAAAACCGTCATCGTCATAGAGCGTGAAGTTCAGCCGTCTCAACTCACCTTTAACAACAATGGCCGTGGTACTCAAAATATAATCACCGGGACAGGGACAATTAATTCATACAAAATATGTAAAATAGCCTTCAGAAATTTATTCTCACCTGACCAATCAATGCCCGGGACATCTGATGTTCCCACCAATAGGAGCGAGTCTGCTGACCCGGCCGGTTTGACTATTGCTGTGCCGGACGGTGTGCCGGTTGGAGTGCCGGTTGGAGTGCCGGTTAATATGCATCTACAACTGACAACAACTGACAACACAGCTGGCCTAGTTACAATGGAAACTAAAAGCCCCAAGCCGTAAGTAGTTGGATTTGTTACAAGAGTTAAAGTAAGTAGTTAGATTTGCTACAATAACCCCGTGACCGTGTTATATGAGGTTCTATACTTATCAGAACGACTATTTTTGGCCCAAATATTTTGTATTTTTAACTTTTATCTCTAAAGTGCAGTTTATTTTTCTAGTAAGCCCTATGGAATGTTATGAGATGGATTTGTGACAACAGGCCTCTGAAAAAGGGGGGGGGGGGGGGTGAGGGGGGGAGGGGGTGAAAACAGGCTAAATTCTTGGACAGTGAATTATTTTATCAGAAAAAATGTCAAATTTTGTTATTCTATATAAACGAGAATGTACTTTAACTAAACTAAACGGTTTTGAAACAGTTGCTTTATTCCATTCGGCGCCAGGTTGATTCGATGTTTCTTTACATTAAATTTTGTCACGAACTTTGAGGTTTCCTCCTGCAAAACTCCTGGAATTTTCTTGAAAAATTACTGGAATTTTCTTGAAAAATTACTGGAATTTTCTTGAAAAACATCTGGAATTTCAGGTTCACTTTGGTGCAGGAACCATGAATTGAGTATTCTGTAGCAAATGCCATAAAAATGTATTTTAAAATGCAAACTGCTAAACTTCAGTAATAAAAGTATTTTTAAAAAATGCTAAAAGTATAACGACACATTCTGACCCCTCCACCCCCTTAATGTAACTGTTGTTTTTATCAACTTCCTCTACCCCTGAGAGTGTGACGTCATGTGTGCATTACCACTAAATTCCGTTAAGAGGGTTTTTGTTTTTCGAGCTGCATACCCATTTATTGCGCCAATTTCGTCATCTTTTCCTTTTTTGGATGCCCCAGAAACATGGATACCGAACAGAAAGCTCCCTTCACTTGTGTCTAATTAAATTATATTAAAGCTGTTTCTTTCAGGCATCTCTTCGGGGGCTCATTGCCCCCACCCCTCCCGGGCCTGACTCAATAAAAATAATATAACATTCATTTAGAAATACATACTATAACCAGTGTCCGCCCTCCCGGAAATTTAAGTACGCCCCTCTATACAAAAGTTTTAAGTACCCTAACCCCTCTTGGAGAAAAATGTCTAAAAAAAACACTACTTTTAAGATCGACGTACTAAATTTTATTGGAGAATTTTTATATTGGACCGGTACATTGATTGTGACTTGTTATTAGTTTTCCCTGTTAACTAGTTCATGTAAATCGTTTAATTATTTTTTCCCAGGAGTGATGATAGAGAGGATGATGAAACACTGGTGCCATTATCACTTGAGACGCCACACTGAGTTCCAGAAAGTATCCAGCCTCGACTGAGATTCATTCCTTCCTCTGGGTTAGCTTTATACGTCTATAAGTGCTCCATTCAATGTACACCCCCAGCTATATTTCTTCTATTTGCATTAATTGTTTATTTTAAAAAATTGCATTGTTTTGAAAATATATATTCTCCCTAATCAAACTATACAATGTCTTGTGTTCTAAGTGCACCAATCAAATGTAATCCCCCCCCCCCCCCCTCAGCTACATTTTTTAATTAGCATTTTTTAAATTATATTGAAAATAATATTGACTTGTTTTAAAAATTAAAGTATTGTCCCCATTTAAACTAGTACGCGCTAATAAAATCAGGTTGTTTGATTAATCTCAGAAATATATTGCAATTGTAATGTGTGTTGGAATGTTGACTTCACTACATAGACGTTTAGGATGATTATAATGCAGATGTTGACAATTACCTTTCTAACGAATTTTTTAAAGTTTTTATTTACTTTAACGTATTTGATGATTATATTATAAAATGTGACCATAACTATACATACGCTAAAGATGTATATAATTTAGATGTTTACATTTACCCTTATAACAAACTTTTCTTTCAATTAAAAAAAATATTTTTCCGTATTAGATGATTAAATGAGTTGAAGTTAAATCTTTTGTTGATTTTATTTTAAATATCATTCCCAAAAAACATTTTTAAAAAAAAGTTTTTTTTTTCTATTAAAATGAGACTATTATTGTAATAGAAAAACCCCACCAATATTTTAAACAGCGTGGTCAAATCGGTACAGCTTATGGTTACCGCACCGACCAGTCTCGAGTTCAAACACCCGGACAGATGAGACTCGATAGCTGGGGCCAGCAACTTTTCTAGGAGTGGCAACTCTAAAATCAAACAACTACTGCCTTGTAGTTTGTTCTTGGTTAGACAAAGGCTATGGAAGCAAATCAAAATGGAAAAGCAGGATGAAATCGGAGTCAATGGCCTATATGGCTCATAAATAGTTAACACAAAATACTTAATTGTGTTGGAGGGAAATCCTTCCAATATTAAAAATTAAGAACGAAGAAGAAGATAAACAGAATGTGTCAATTCATTAAATATGTAACTGAAATATATAAATTCAATCCATAAAATATTTTGATGCAATATAAAAAATAGAAAAATAAAAATACTACATTTAGTCAACAAAACTCAGAACGTGGTTTTAATTTAAAACGTCTTTATGTAATGAGAAACTAAGCAATTTGGAACAATATAAATCTTTTTAAACATTGTGATCAAGCATGCATTACTGAGAAAAAAAAGCTTACAAACTGCAGTAAACGAGCTTGTTAACTGAGTGTTTGATTCACAAGATGAAATCAATCTATTCATGATGATGTTTTGGTGCAAAAAGTGGAATTTGGCAGAAAATTAAGAATAGGAAAAGAGATTTAATATTAAACTCTAAGGAAAGAAAAAAAATACTGTCGCCTTTAACGAAGAAAAAATAATCTTGGAAACATTGACATGTTTAAGAAAGTGAATTATTGAAAATTTGAAAGAAAAATCAATGTGTACCTTGAATGAAAACGTACTTGAGACCGTTTACCGTGACGTCGATTGAAAAAATAACTATACTTCAATTATATTTCTTTAAAAATATCTAGGTCTGTACTTCTACTAGACCGTCATGGAGCGGGAAGTTCAGCCGCCCCAGAACACCTCATACAGCTGAAAGAAGAAGAAAAAGCTACCCTGATACACAATCGATTTAATGTTTCTTAAATGTGGCCAGAATTCCCGATGAAGTACGAGATTTCTTGGAATTGTGCTCTGATCGTACCTGATTCACAATAGGGAAAGTAGAGTTGACTGGGCCTAGTGTTTACTACACTATCCCTTCATATTCTGAGCTTACAGAAACGGGTGAACTCTATATAATTTGTTCCATCGCCAGGGTAGAAAGGTAAACTCTTTGACATTTTTACTGACACATAGTGACAACGTGTTAGGATACATGCCTTTCGTGTTGTAGTTCTATTTATTTATACTTGCATCTTCAAGCGAAGATTTTCCACTCTTGTGCATCAAAACAAAAAATTAAATGAATTAAATTAGTGAAACCTAGAATGTTATATCATAACATAACATAATAAAAAAAAAACGTTAAAATAACAAGCTTTTTATATAGCTCTAGCGTTATTAGGTCGGTGTCACCCAGTGCGGTACCTCGTTCCTAAAGCGCGCGCACACACTCACAAACGCAAACTTCATTTCAGCATGGTTTCTTACCAATGAGTCCTGATTATCTTTTGCAGTTCTTTTGCTACGGACTACATGTCATAGTTTAAAAAAAACATATTCATGTATACACCCTCACTAGACTACCAACCCAAAAGTCTCGAATTCGAATCCTTGTTCAAGTCAGTAAGGTGTTGCTGTGTCCACCCAGCTCAAATAGCTACTTACCTTATGTTACGGAGAGTAAAGGCAGCTGGGCATAATGATGACCCCACTATCTCTTCATATGCCGAGGTCACAGAAATAGGTCAACACTACTTCACTTGCCCCATGGACCGTCGGGATCGAAAGGGAACTTGACATTTTTTTATAGATCTCCAGCTCTTTAGGCGAATGAAAGCAGCATTTAATCTTCAGGCCTCTCCATACGCTAGTGCAATATTGTCTAATTGTGCTCAGCAAGGCGTTAGCTGGTATCCGCCTTTAGGTTTAAATTATACACCAGTAGGTCAAAGATTTGAGCATGACCCTAACTTGTCCTCTTTTATGATAATCAAATATGTTGGCGTAATCATATTGTACTAAATATCGACATGTAGCAAGGAATTTTTAAAACGTTTTGCTTTAGATCCTCCGTGTTTGTATGTGCCTGGTTGTGTGTTAATGCGGTTTTGTTTTGTTATGATTTTTTAATACTTCCCATGTTTGCAATTTTTAAAAAATGTTTCTAAAAATATACTTCCGATTAATCTCTAAACCTCTTTATCATGCTTTGTTGTAATATTTGCTAAAATAAACAACGACGACATACTATACCTAAGACTTGAGTTTCACTAGAGTCCAGATCTAAATTATTAATATTGTAAGTGTAAGGGTAAGTAATTTATTGTTTGGGACACGGTAACCTTTCCGCAACATATGGCGGTTGCATATGATTTGGTATGGAATCAAGCATTGATCAGTAACTTAGAAATCAAGAAAAAAAACTTTCAAAGGACATGGACGAGTTGAGAGAATCCTTCCAACGTTATTGTTGACATGCATAAGAATCGTTTTTTAAATTTATATTTTGCTATCAAAGCAGTCGTATACAAATGTAAAAAAATAAATAAATGACAATAGTTAAGAGATGTAATATTTTTGGATCAATGTTATAAAAGTTGCAAAAACAGTGTGACGCCACATCATCTGACCCCCCCTTCATCACATCCCGTCAATAAATTAAGGACCCCCTTCCCCTACGAGTGTGACGTGATATATGGACGACCCCAAAGTCTCTGCTCTCTACGTTGAAGTCAAAACGTATATTTCAACAACTAATAGCAAGTCACTTCATTTCTAACCAACCCAAGCTAAAGAGAACGTACATTATGCGTTGTATAATAATTTGTTTCGTTTTTAAGTGTTAAAAGATTTATCTACTCACCAGTTCGGTGTAATTATTTCTACTTTACGTTGGCGAAATAGCTTTTCACTTACACATCTTGAAAATAGGCGGTGAGCGTTTTTTTAACAGTCTCTGATTGTTATGGGTATTTATTTTACCGTAACTTAAATCACAGTGGGAAACAGTTAAAGCTGTGTGTAAAACCTATTACCCGTCTGTTTCATTAACTTTGTATAACTTAATAGCTGATTAAAAATGAGATTTTTAATCTTTTTAACCCAAACCCCGTTTAGGTGCCATCACATGTTTAAGAGATATGGTCGTTAAAAATGTATGGGTGTACTACTTTACAGTAGACCAAGTGTAGTTAAATGTGTGCACTATATGCTACTCTACAGTAGACTACTTGTAGTTTAAATTAAGCACTGTGTGCTACTTTACAGTAGTCTACTTGTAGTTTGATGTGTGTACTATGTGCTACTTTACAGTAGACTGTTAAATATGCAATATGTGTGCAACTTTACAGTACTCTACTTGTAGTTTGATGTGTGTACTATGTGCTACTTTACAGTAGACTACTTGTAGTTTAATGTGTGTACTATGTGCTACTTTACAGTATACTGTTAAATATGCATTCTGTGTGCTACTTTACAGTAGTCTACTTGTAGTTTGATGTGTGTATAGTGTGTTACTTTACAGAAGAGTACTTGTTGCTACGTGTTAATACTACTTTCAAATCCACCATAATGGCTTTTTTGTGTCCCTAAAATCAAATATGTCCCCCCCCCAAAGATTTACACTGATTTCGAATCAACCCCCTCCCCTCTCCACCTACTTTATCTTGTTTTCCAGATGACATCCATGTCTATGACGAGGTACACAAGTACAGCCGTCTTGTTGCTGGGACTGTGGACACTCCCTTCAAGCGGCGAGGTTAGCCAGAACTCTAGTGATGGAACCTGCAGCGCCCCTACGTCTCAGAATGGCGCTCTTCCACTGATACCGACTTTCGGTATGTCTGTGTCTATGTCTTGTCTATGCAGTAGCGACATACAAGGGGGGGGGTGTGGTCTGTACCGGGTAACACAATTAAAGGGTTACCTCTAGCTAATATAAAAATCATAAAACTTTAGAGTCAAAACAATGTTTTAGTTAGTTAAAAAAACGAATTAGTATGAAATGCTAACTTGTTGAAAGAGGTGGAGGTGAGATCCTGAGTTTCAGCACCGGGCGTCACCCAATATGTTGACGTCGCTTAGTCTATGTGTAAGTCTTTGTTTATGTTTCAGTTCAACACACCTCCGATAATGGCACAACTCATCTAATTTTATTAGTATTACTAAAACTTATATCCCCAGTTTCTAAAATTAACTATGCACATGTACATAGTTTCACCAGCGGACTAAATAATAGACAAAAACATCAGTTTGTGTTTGTGGATTGTAATTTTTTTTTCACCAGAAAACGACACGGTGTATCTGACTGTCAATGAGTTAAAAGATCTGAGGCTGGCTGTGAAGGAGTTAAAAGATCTGAGGCTGGCTGTAAAGGAGTTGAAAGATCTGATCGCTGCCGCCAACAACGCGATCGACTACAGCCACCAGGCGACTGATAGAATGTATTTGATGATCTTCATATTTCTTTCTGTCGTCGGACTACTGGGTAGGATTGGATTTCTAGAGTTAACAAAAATAGATATAGTTAATAAGAGACAGCTGTGATTATGGGAATCCATGGGGATACCTGACTCGCTTTAGGAAAAATAAAGACAGCTGGGCATATTCCTTCATATGCGAGATCACCGAAACATGAACTCTACTTAAGAAGCGAGGAGCATTGACGCCGCAATGTATGTGGCCCACTCTTCTGATGCGACAGTACATCATTAGGTCTCACGACAAGATACCTATACTTTAATTAAATTTCAGGGGACGGCGTGATCGAGTCGGTAAAGCTCATTGTTGCTAAACCGAGAAGATGAGACTCGTTATCTGGGGACAACCACTCTTCTAGGAGAGACAACTCAAAAATTAAATAACTGCTGCCTTGTAGTTTTTTCTTGGTTGGACAAAGGCTATGGAAGCAAATCCAAAAAAGAAAAGCAGGCTGCAATCGGAGTCAACGCCTTTATTGCGCATAACAAGTTGACACGTAATACTTAATTGTGTTTTAGGGGACCCTTTCCAACATTAAAATTAAGAACGAAGAAGAAGAGTTAAATTTCTTTTTAAAAAAACCAGGTCCTAACTTCTTCAAAACCGTCATCGTCATAGAGCGTGAAGTTCAGCCGTCTCAACTCACCTTTAACAACAATGGCCGTGGTACTCAAAATATAATCACCGGGACAGGGACAATTAATTCATACAAAATATGTAAAATAGCCTTCAGAAATTTATTCTCACCTGACCAATCAATGCCCGGGACATCTGATGTTCCCACCAATAGGAGCGAGTCTGCTGACCCGGCCGGTTTGACTATTGCTGTGCCGGACGGTGTGCCGGTTGGAGTGCCGGTTGGAGTGCCGGTTAATATGCATCTACAACTGACAACAACTGACAACACAGCTGGCCTAGTTACAATGGAAACTAAAAGCCCCAAGCCGTAAGTAGTTGGATTTGTTACAAGAGTTAAAGTAAGTAGTTAGATTTGCTACAATAACCCCGTGACCGTGTTATATGAGGTTCTATACTTATCAGAACGACTATTTTTGGCCCAAATATTTTGTATTTTTAACTTTTATCTCTAAAGTGCAGTTTATTTTTCTAGTAAGCCCTATGGAATGTTATGAGATGGATTTGTGACAACAGGCCTCTGAAAAAGGGGGGGGGGGGGTGAGGGGGGGAGGGGGTGAAAACAGGCTAAATTCTTGGACAGTGAATTATTTTATCAGAAAAAATGTCAAATTTTGTTATTCTATATAAACGAGAATGTACTTTAACTAAACTAAACGGTTTTGAAACAGTTGCTTTATTCCATTCGGCGCCAGGTTGATTCGATGTTTCTTTACATTAAATTTTGTCACGAACTTTGAGGTTTCCTCCTGCAAAACTCCTGGAATTTTCTTGAAAAATTACTGGAATTTTCTTGAAAAATTACTGGAATTTTCTTGAAAAACATCTGGAATTTCAGGTTCACTTTGGTGCAGGAACCATGAATTGAGTATTCTGTAGCAAATGCCATAAAAATGTATTTTAAAATGCAAACTGCTAAACTTCAGTAATAAAAGTATTTTTAAAAAATGCTAAAAGTATAACGACACATTCTGACCCCTCCACCCCCTTAATGTAACTGTTGTTTTTATCAACTTCCTCTACCCCTGAGAGTGTGACGTCATGTGTGCATTACCACTAAATTCCGTTAAGAGGGTTTTTGTTTTTCGAGCTGCATACCCATTTATTGCGCCAATTTCGTCATCTTTTCCTTTTTTGGATGCCCCAGAAACATGGATACCGAACAGAAAGCTCCCTTCACTTGTGTCTAATTAAATTATATTAAAGCTGTTTCTTTCAGGCATCTCTTCGGGGGCTCATTGCCCCCACCCCTCCCGGGCCTGACTCAATAAAAATAATATAACATTCATTTAGAAATACATACTATAACCAGTGTCCGCCCTCCCGGAAATTTAAGTACGCCCCTCTATACAAAAGTTTTAAGTACCCTAACCCCTCTTGGAGAAAAATGTCTAAAAAAAACACTACTTTTAAGATCGACGTACTAAATTTTATTGGAGAATTTTTATATTGGACCGGTACATTGATTGTGACTTGTTATTAGTTTTCCCTGTTAACTAGTTCATGTAAATCGTTTAATTATTTTTTCCCAGGAGTGATGATAGAGAGGATGATGAAACACTGGTGCCATTATCACTTGAGACGCCACACTGAGTTCCAGAAAGTATCCAGCCTCGACTGAGATTCATTCCTTCCTCTGGGTTAGCTTTATACGTCTATAAGTGCTCCATTCAATGTACACCCCCAGCTATATTTCTTCTATTTGCATTAATTGTTTATTTTAAAAAATTGCATTGTTTTGAAAATATATATTCTCCCTAATCAAACTATACAATGTCTTGTGTTCTAAGTGCACCAATCAAATGTAATCCCCCCCCCCCCCTCAGCTACATTTTTTAATTAGCATTTTTTAAATTATATTGAAAATAATATTGACTTGTTTTAAAAATTAAAGTATTGTCCCCATTTAAACTAGTACGCGCTAATAAAATCAGGTTGTTTGATTAATCTCAGAAATATATTGCAATTGTAATGTGTGTTGGAATGTTGACTTCACTACATAGACGTTTAGGATGATTATAATGCAGATGTTGACAATTACCTTTCTAACGAATTTTTTAAAGTTTTTATTTACTTTAACGTATTTGATGATTATATTATAAAATGTGACCATAACTATACATACGCTAAAGATGTATATAATTTAGATGTTTACATTTACCCTTATAACAAACTTTTCTTTCAATTAAAAAAAATATTTTTCCGTATTAGATGATTAAATGAGTTGAAGTTAAATCTTTTGTTGATTTTATTTTAAATATCATTCCCAAAAAACATTTTTAAAAAAAAGTTTTTTTCTTCTATTAAAATGAGACTATTATTGTAATAGAAAAACCCCACCAATATTTTAAACAGCGTGGTCAAATCGGTACAGCTTATGGTTACCGCACCGACCAGTCTCGAGTTCAAACACCCGGACAGATGAGACTCGATAGCTGGGGCCAGCAACTTTTCTAGGAGTGGCAACTCTAAAATCAAACAACTACTGCCTTGTAGTTTGTTCTTGGTTAGACAAAGGCTATGGAAGCAAATCAAAATGGAAAAGCAGGATGAAATCGGAGTCAATGGCCTATATGGCTCATAAATAGTTAACACAAAATACTTAATTGTGTTGGAGGGAAATCCTTCCAATATTAAAAATTAAGAACGAAGAAGAAGATAAACAGAATGTGTCAATTCATTAAATATGTAACTGAAATATATAAATTCAATCCATAAAATATTTTGATGCAATATAAAAAATAGAAAAATAAAAATACTACATTTAGTCAACAAAACTCAGAACGTGGTTTTAATTTCAACCCTCTTTATGTAATGAGAAGCTAAGCAACTTGTAACAATGTAACTTATTCTAAACATTGTGATCAAGGATGTATTACTCAAAAAAAAAAAGCTTACCACTGCAGTAAACGAGCTTGTAAACTGTGTGTTTGAATCACAAGATAAAATCAATCTATTCCTGGACGCACAAGAGATGAATGATCTTTTGGTGCAAAAAGTAGAATTTGGCAGAAAATTAAGAATAGGAAAAGAGATTTAATTATAAGGAAAGCAAACAAATATTGTCGTATTTCACGAAGAAAAATAAATCTTGGAAACAATGTTAGAGAAACTCTTTAGAGTGTTTAATGAATCTGAAAGTGAATTATTAAAAATTTGAAAGATAAATTAATGTGTATCTTGAATGAAAACAAACTTGAGAGTTACATTCCTCGGCTGAAAGAAGAAAAAAAATCTACTCTGATCCACAATCCATTCAATGTTTCTTAAATGTGACCAGCATTCCCGATGAAGTACAAGATTTCTTGGAATTGTGCTCTGATCGTACGTGACTCACAATAGGGAAGTAGAGTTGACTGGGCCTAGTGTTGACCACACTATCCCTTCATATTCTGAGCTTACAGAAACGGGTGAACTCTAAATAATTTGTTCCATCGCCAGGGTAGAGAGGGAAACTTTCTTGACTCTTGGAATCCTCGGCCCTTAACAATTTTATTGACACATAGAGACAACGTGTTAGGATACAATTAATTAGTGAATGTTATATCAAAACATAATAATAAAATGCGTAAAAATAACAAGCTTTTATTTATGCTGTGAAGCCACTAAGTCGGTGTCACCCGGTGCGGTACCTCGTTCCCAAAGCGCGCACGCACGCACACACACATACATACATACATACACATACACACGTACGCTCACACGCACGCAAACGCACACACACACACACACACACACACACACACACACACACACACACACACACACATATATATATATATGTGTATATATATATATATATATATATATATATATATATATATATATATATATATATATATATATGTATATGTATATGTATATATAATCTTCACCTCATCAAAGGGACGGACTTCCTTTTAGCTTGGTTTCTTACATAATGATTTTTGATGTTCTTTTGCAGTTCTTTTGCTACTTACCTCATGTTAGGGAGAGTAAAGGCAGCTGGGCATAATGCTGACCACACTATCTCTTCATATGCCGAGGTCACAGAAATAGGTTAACACTACTTCACTTGCCCCATGGACCGTCAGGATCGAAAGGGACTTAACATTTTTTATAGACCTCAAGCTCTGTTTGCGAATGAAGCAGCATTTAATCTTCAGGCCTCTCCATACGCTAGTACAATAATGTCTAATTGTGCGCAGCAAGGCGTTAGCTGGTATCCGCCTTTAGGTTTAAATTTTACACCAGTAGGTCAAAGATTTGAGCATGACTCAAAGTTGTCCTCTTTTATGATAATCAAATGTGTTGGCGTAATCATATTGTACTAAATATCTACATGTAGCAAGGATTTTTAAAAACATTTTGCTTTAGATCCTCCGTGTTTGAATGTGCCTGGTTGTTTGTTAATGCGGTTTTGTTTTGTTATGATTTTTTGATACTTTCCATGTTAACAATTTTTAAAAAATGTTTCTAAAAATATACTTCCGATTAATCTCTAAACCTCTTTATCATGCTTTGTTGTAATATTTGCTAAAATAAACAACGACGACATACTATACCTAAGACTTGAGTTTCACTAGAGTCCAGATCTAAAATATTAATATGGTAAGTGTAAGGGTAAGTAATTTATTGTTTGGGACACAGTAACATTTCCGCAATAAATGGCGATTGCATGTTATTTGTTATGGAATCAAGCATTGATCAGTAGCTTAGAAATCAAGAAAAAGTATTCAAAGGACGTGAACGAGATTAGAGAATTCATCCATCTTTATTGTTGACACGGATAAGAATCTTTTTTTTATTTTTAGATTTTGCAACCAATGCAGCTTTATGCAAATGTAAAAAAATTGAAAATAATTAAAAATTTTAATTAAGAAATTTAATCTCTTTAGAATCAATGTTATAAAAGTTTGAAATCCAGAGAACTTGAAAACATTTTTTTTTAGTTTAAGGCTACATTTATATTTATTTTCATCAAGCCTAGATCTAGGTTACAACCTGAAGATTCATAATATTCACGATATTCTAAAAACCCAACTTCATAGTAATTTGTTATATAAATATTAGTTATATGAGAGATGGCTATGAATAGAAATGTTATATAATCTAAATATAAAACTATCTGGGCACAACATGTCCCAATTTGTCAAGAATAATATTTGCTTCTTTACTAGTCAGATAGTCACAAAAAGTCAGACCCCCCCCCCCTAAAATGACGTCACACCTCAGCCTACAACCCTACTCCCAAGTCAAAATTGCAGTTGAATTTTTCTTAAAATACGATTTTTCCAAAATCTAGTCTAAACTCTGTCAACATAGAGTATTTTAATCAATTGCTATTACAATTTATTAAAACTGTTTTTAAAGCGTGAAATAACGGCTAACATTTGTTTATATTGAAAATAGTGTGACCTCCCACAATCTGACCCCCCCCCCCCCCGTTCCCTTTATCACACACCGTAAAAAAATTACGGACTCCCTTTTCCCCTACGAATGTGACGTCATTTATGGACGAGCCCAGAGTCTCTGCTCTCTACGTTGAAGTTGAAACGTAGATTTCAACTACTAATAGCTAGTCGCTTGATTTCTTACCAACACTAGCTAAAGGGCAGAGGCGTAGCGAGGGGGGGTGGGGTGTGTGAGCCGAACCGGGTGACACCATTTAGGGGGTCACACCAAAGCAAAAAATAGCAAAATATATAGAGAAAAACTTGAGGGGGGGGGGGGGGTTGCAAATCGAAAATTTGAAAGTTTGTCCCCGGGAAGGGTCGCTAGACCTCTGGGGGGTGACACCATTAAGTGCCGCACCGGGTGACACCCGACCTCGCTACGCCACTGCTAAAGGGAAAGTACATTATGCGTTGTATAATAATTTGTTTCGTTTTTAAGTTTTAAAAGATTTATCTACTCACCAGTTTGGTGTAATTATTTCTAATTTACGTTGGCGAAATAGTTTTTCCCTTACACATCTTGAAAAAAGGCGGTGAGCGTTTTTTTAACAGTCTCTGATTGTTATGGGTATTTATTTTACCGTAACTTAAATCACAGTGGGAAACAGTTAAAGCTGTGTGTAAAACCTATTACCCGTCTGTTTCATTAACTTTGTATAACTTAATAGCTGATTAAAAATAAGATTTTTAATCTTTTTAACCCACACCACGTTTGGGTGCCATCACATGTTTAAGAGATATGGTGGTTAAAAATGTATGGGTGTTCTACTTTACAGTAGACCAAGTGTAGTTAAATGTGTGTACTATAGGCCAGTGGCGTAGCGAGGTCGGGTGTCACCCGGTGCGGCACTTAATGGTGTCACCCCCCAGAGGCGCAACGACCCTTCCCGGTGACAAACTTTCAAATTTTGATTTAGACCCCCCCCCCTCAAACTTTCGATTTGCACCCCCCACCCCTCAAACCTTCGATTTGCACCCTCTCCTTAAAACTTTCGATTTTCACCCCCCCCCCCCCCCACCTCTTAAAAGGCTATTTAACACTCTAATTAATCACTCTATTAAGTGGAATTATCATTTTTCTCTATATATTTTGCTATTTTTTGCCTTGGTGTCACCCCCCTAAATGGTGTCACCCGGTGCGGTCCGCACCCCCCACGCTACGCCCCTGCTATAGGCTACTCTACAGTAGACTACTTGTAGTTTAAATTAAGTACTGTGTACTACTTTACAGTAGTCTACTTGTAGTTTGATGTGTGTACTATGTGCTACTTTACAGTAGACTGTTAAATATGCATTCTGTGTGCTACTTTACATTAGTCTACTTGTAGTTTGATGTGTGTACTATGTGCTACTTTACAGTATACTGTTAAATATGCATTCTTTGTGCTATTTTACAGTAGTCTACTTGTAGTTTGATGTCTGTATAGTGTGTTACTTTACAGAAGAGTACTTGTTGCTACGTGTTAATACTACTTTCAAATCCACCATAATGGCTTTTTTTTGTCCCTAAAATCCCCCCCCCCTAAAGCTTTACACTAATTTCAACTCCCTCCCCTCTCCACCTACTTTATGTTGTTTTCCAGATGACATCCATGTTGATGACGAGGTACACGAGTACAGCCGTCTTGTTGCTGGGACTTTGGACACTCCCTTCAAGCGGCGAGGTTAGCCAGAACTCTAGTGATGGAACCTGCAGCGCCCCAACGTCTCAGAATGGCGCTCTTCCACTGTCATCGAATTTCGGTATGTCCGTGTCTATGTCTTGTCTATGCATTAGCGACATACAAGGAGGTCTGTACCGGGTAACACCATTTAAGGATTACTTCTAGCTAATATAAAAATCATAAAATTTTAGAGTCAAAACAATGTTTTAGCTAGTTAAAAAAACAAAATAGTATGAAATGGTAACTTTTTGAAGGAGGTGGAGGTGAGATCCTGAGTTTCAGCACCGGGCGTCACCCAATATGTTAACGTCGCTTAGTCTATGTGTAAGTCTTTGTTTATGTTTCAGTTCAACACACCTCCGATAATGGCACAACTCATCTAATTTTATTAGTATTACTAAAACTTATATCCCCAGTTTCTAAAATTAACTATGCACATGTACTATATAATAGACAAAAACATCAGCTTGTGATACTGATTGTAATATTTTTTTACCAGAAAACGACACTCTGTATTTGACAGTCAATGAGTTAAACGATCTGAGTCTGATTGTAAAGGAGTTAAAAGATCTGAGTCAAGCTGTGAAAGAGTTAAAAGATCTGAGGCTGACTATGAAGGAGTTGAAAGATCTGATCGCTGCCGCCAACAACGCGATCGACTACAGCCACCAGGCGACTGATAGAATGTATTTGATGATCTTCATATTTCTTTCTGTCGTCGGACTACTGGGTAGGATTGGATTTCTAGAGTTAACAAAAATAGATATAGTAACTAAGAGACAACTGTGATTATGGGAATCCATAGTAGTCAAAAAATAATACTTGTATGGTTAACTAAATGACAGATGTGCTATAACACGCAATTATGTCAGTACATCTGTTTGGCCACATGTCTGAACAGCGCTTGTGATCAAACAACCGTTGACAAACCACCTGTAATCAAAGACCCTCACCCTCTGCAGAGAAAAGACCTGTAGTCGAACGCCCTATGGTCAAACCCCTATGGTCAAAGCCCCGTTATGGTCAAAGCCCCGCTGTGGCCAAAGTCCCTATGGTTAAAGGCCCTATGGTCAAAGCCCCTCTGTGGTCAAACCCCCTATGGTCAAACCCCTTATTGTCAAAGCACCTGTGGTCAAAGGTCCGAGCACCTTAAGAAGCGAGGGGCATTGACGCCGCAATGCATGCGGCCCAATCTCCTGATGCGACAGTACATCGTTAGGTCTCATGACAAGATACCTATACTTTAATTAAATTTCAGGGGACGGCGTGATCGAGTCGGTAAAGCTCATGGTTGCTAAACCGAACAGATGAGGCTCGTTATCTGGGGACAACCACTCTTCTAGGAGAGACAATTCCAAAATTAAATAACTGCTGCCTTGTAGTTTTTTCTTGGTTCGACAAAAGCTATGGAAGCAAATCCTAAAAGAAAAGCAGGCTGAAATCGGAGTCAACGGCTTTTATGGCGCATAACAAGTTGACACGTAATACTTAATTGTGTTTTAGAGGACCCTTTCCAACATTAAAATTAAGAACGAAGAAGAAGAGTTAAATTTCTTTTTAAAAAATCCAGGTCCTTACTTCTTCAAAACCGTCATCGTCATAGAGCGTGAAGTTCAGCCGTCTCAACTCACCTTTACCAACAATGGCCGTGGTACTCAAAATATAATCACCGGGACAGGGACAATTAATTCATACAAAATATGTAAAATAGCCTTCAGAAATTTATTCTCACCTGACCAATCAATGCCCGGGACATCTGAGGTGCCCACCAATAGGAGCGAGTCTGCTGACCCGGCCGGTTTGACTATTGCTGTGCCGGATGGTGTGCCGGTTGGAGTGCCGGTTGAAGTGCCGGTGAATATGCATCTACAATTGACAACAACTGAAAACACAGCTGGCCTAGTTACAATGGAAACTAAAAGCCCCAAGCCGTAAGTTGTTAGATTTGTTACAAGACTTAAAGTAAGTAGTTAGATTTGTTACAAGAGTTAAAGTAAGTAGTTAGATTTGTTACAAGACTTAAAGTAAGTAGTTAGATTTGTTACAAGAGTTAAAGTAAGTAGTTAGATTTGTTACAAGACTTAAAGTAAGTAGTTAGATTTGTTACAAGAGTTAAAGTAAGTAGTTAGATTTGTTACAAGACTTAAAGTAAGTAGTTAGATTTGTTACAAGACTTAAAGTAAGTAGTTAGATTTGTTACAAGAGTTAAAGTAAGTAGTTAGATTTGTTACAAGAGTTAAAGTAAGTAGTTAGATTTGCTACAAGAGTTAAAGTAAGTAGTTAGATTTGTTACAAGACTTAAAGTAAGTAGTTAGATTTGTTACAAGAGTTAAAGTAAGTAGTTAGATTTGTTACAAGAGTTAAAGTAAGTAGTTAGATTTGCTACAAGAGTTAAAGTAAGTAGTTAGATTTGTTACAAGACTTAAAGTAAGTAGTTAGATTTGTTACAAGAGTTAAAGTAAGTAGTTAAATTTGTTACAAGAGTTAAAGTAAGTAGTTAGATTTGTTACAAGACTTAAAGTAAGTAGTTAGATTTGCTACAAAACTAACCTACTAACCTAAGTTGTTCTATAGTAAGTTATTTGATTTGTTACAAAACTTACCTAAAGTTTTTTTATTTGTTATAAACTTGCCTAAGTTGTTCTATAGTAAGTTATTTGATTTGTTACACAACTTACCTAAAGTTTTTTTATTTGTTATAAAACTTGCCTCAGTTGTTCTATAGTAAGTTATTTGATTTGTTACACAACTTACCTTAAGTTGTTAGATTTGCTACAAGACTTACATTAAGTTGTTCTATAGTAAGTTGTTTGATTTGTTACAAAACTTACAGTAAGTTGTTTGATTTGTTACAAAACTTACAGTAAGTTGTTAGATTTGTTACAAAAGTTACAGTAAGTTGTTAGATTTGTTACAAAACTTACAGTAAGTTTTTGATTTGTTACAAAACTTACAGTAAGTTGTTTGATTTGTTACAAGACTGTATAGTATATTGTTTATCAGGGTTCCCGCTACCTCCTGAAATTTCAGGATTTCCTGGAATTCTCATGGAATTAAAAATACCCAGAAAAGTCCTGGAATTGGAATTCTACTTGAATTTAAACATTTCTTCTGAAATTTTATAAAACGGCATAAAATTTTACTCGCATCGATTAATTTATTTTCGTTTGTTATAGGGCTGGTAAGTAGGTCACAAACCAGTTCTACGGCTCAATTAAACCTGCATGAGCCATAGAACTGGTTGGTGACCTACTTACCAGCCCTATAGGTATGATATATAGATATGACCGTTCCAGTCAAATTTCCTGCGTTATTAAATTTTTTTGTCGATTCTGAGCCTAAAAGACAAGAACTTTGATATCCAGACCTATAGTTATCTTTAACCAGTGTCCCGGTGGGTTTGGTTTATTAATTCTTTCACGTCTTCCTACAAGTGTGGCCAATGTTCTGTAAAAAATAAATACCTTAACCAGTATCCGGCCATCCGAAAATGTTATTTAAGCGCGTAGAGAATTGTTGATTTGGTTGTGATATGTTGATATGATGTTTGTTAATACTCGTCTTCCCTATTAAGTAGTTCATGTAAATCGCTTTGTTTTTCATGCAGTGATGATAGGAAGGATGAAGAGACTTTGGTGCCAATAGCGAGTTCGGCTCTACACTGAGATACAGAAGGTACCCAACACAGACTGAGACTCAATCGTTCCTCTGGGTCAGCCTTAAACGTCTTGTGCTTTAAGTACCCCATTCAAATATACACACCCAGCAACATTTTTTCTATTTGCATTTGTTGTTTCATTATTTAAAGAAAATTGAGTTTAAAAAAAATAGGACTGTCCCTAAAAAAAATGTATTATATGTCTTGGTTTTTTTAAAGTGTATTATTGCAATGTACATCCACAAGCTACATTTCTCCTATTTTTTTTATGTGTTTCATTATTTAAAAAAAATCATTGTCTTAAAATATAGTAAGCTTACTGTCCCTACATTTCTCCTATTTGCATTTGTTTTATTATTTAAAAAAATCAATATCTTAAAATATAGTTAGCTTTACTGTCCCTAATTAAACTATTACGTGCTAATAAAAAAGATAGGGCCTAGTGTTAATATCCTCACAAATTAAATTACTCGTAGCCATTTTTGGTCGTTTTTTTGGCCTAACGGCCATGATATGCAAAGGAACAAGCACGTGTTTTGAGAGTAATATTCGGCAGTTGGTGTCTTTTTACGAGTGGGGGGGGGGGGGGGGGGGGGTGAAGTCTAGTCTGTCACAGTTTCCTCGTGTATGGTATGGTGGACATGCGCAATACGTGGCGCTGGAATAATTCCGGTCCACGGAACTTTTTGTCCGTGTAAGATTTGAGGAAAAAGTTTCCGGCAGGCCTGTTGGTCAACTGGAGTTTTACAACCCCCACTCACCCCCCCCCCCCAAACCGTGACCACTCATGCCATTAACTCTCCAGTTTTGTTAGGACAAAATTAATTGTTATTTATTACCCTGTGCGGGTGTTTCATAATATAGAATGTAGCTGTAGCTATACAGGTGTTTAAGATGTGTTTAAGATGTTAACATTTACCTGTGTAGCAAAAAATATTTTTAAAAAAATATAAAAAATATGTTTTAAATTTAATTATAACTTTCATGATAAATAAATGAGTGGAAGTTAAATCTTTTTGTCAATTTTCTTTTCTTTTAATTCTCGTTTCATAAAAACATTAAAAAAGAAAGCGGGAGTGATCTCCCTTAAACTTTAATCAAACATCAAATGAAGACAATGTTTATAAACTGTTATCGGGTCTTGACCTACGTGTTGTTAGAAAGAAATCGGTGGTAGAGCTCACGACTGCTAAACCGAAAGACTTGAGTTCGGGTCCCGGGGCTCGAGGTTGTTGGACATCCCCGAGTGCACCCAGCTCTGATGGGCAGCAGACTCACACCCGGGAAAGTAAAGCCGGCTGGGCATAATGCTGACAACACTATCCACGCGTATGTCAATGTCACTGAAACAGATGAACTCTACTTCATCTGTCAAACCTATCGCGGGAAAAGATGATGATGATGATGCTAACCAAATCATAGTTTTAAATCGATCCTTGCCCCTTTCATCATGTCAGATGAGTTGCTTTATTTAAAGCATTCGTTTACCCCCGACCCAACTAGTCTAAGCCCCCCCCCCCCCCCACCAGGTTAGCCACACACAGCACGTCGTTTTTTCTTATAACCCAGGCGTGGTCGGGTCGGTATATCTCATGGTCGCTAAACCGAAAAGTCCAGAGTTCGAACCCCCGGGCAGATGAGGCTCAACTGTTGGAGACAGCAGCTCATTTAGAAGAGAAAACACTAAGCAACTGATGCTAACACGGCACCACTGGGCGCATAACCTTCGAGTAAAAATCACCGCCCTGGGCGTAAGATTTTCTAAATAAACTTTAAGGGCCTGTGTTCGTGACCAAGGTGAGCCATCTAGATGTAGACATCCGGCCAGAGGCGTAGCGACGCCCGGGGACAAACTTACAATTTGGCGCCCCCCCCCCCCCCCCCCCCCGGGAGCAAATTTTCGATTTGCACCCCCCTCAAACAATAATTTGTTTTTCCAACCTATTTTGCCCCCCCCCCCCCCTAAGGTCGGCGCCCGGGGACATATGTACCGCCCCACCTCGCTACGCCTCTGCATCCGGCTGTGGTCAGGCATGGAGAGGGGTGGGCGCCGACATAGGACAATTAGCCTTAGACCAGGGGTCGGCAACCTTTTGATACGCAAGAGCCAAAAGTTACAGTTTACAAACTTTCCCAGTTTTTAAAGAGCCACAACATTTTTAGTTCAATATTCGGTATTTGATTAGGATTAGGTAAATAAAGTTGATTTATTTTTTAAAAAATAGTTTAAAATATGAAATAAAATTTATTTATATAAAAACATTTTAATTAATTAATTTTTTTTTTTCATTTTTTCTTTACGGATATCACCGGCTCAGGGGGTGTCTCCCATTAGCCAGTCAGGCCTCAAAACAGCAAACGCCGACTAACTGGCTTGGACATCGGTTTGAATAACTTGCCTTGTTCTCTTCTATCCTTTGATTCTCACCAGGCTTATATTCCATCCCACTGAACGCAGGGTAAATACTAAAGTCGTACCCCACCGTCCAGTAAAAATGTAATTATATAACTATTAATATTTATGCAATGAGCTGGAGAGCCGCATCTGGACGTCAAAAGAGCCGCATGCGGCTCGCGAGCCCCAGGTTGCCGACCCCTGCCCTAGACACATTACACTGTTGCCACAACGACCCAAATACGGGATGATTTAAAAAATTGTTAAAGAAAGAAACAGAAGAACTCTCGTTTACCTACACTACAGACATTTCTACTGAATAAAATTGCACATAATCTCTAATCTCAAAGCCTTGTAATTTTGTTTATTAAAAACTGCGACTCGTTATTGTAAACGAAGTTACAGTGAGCTGTGATACGGTAAGAAGATAATAAAATGTTTTTCTAACTTAATATCTTTGAATATGTGAGGCGGTAAGTATTTAGATATTTTATTTTATGTTATATAGATCTAGATCTAGTTATAGATTATTACGGTATCCGGTCTGTAGATATTTTAGTCTAGATATTTTTTTATATTATAGATCTAGATCTTGTTATAGATCTCTAGATCTAGATCTAGATCTAGAACTAGTACGGTTTCCGGTCTTTTGATCGTTTTGCCGTAGATCTAGACTTTAAAACAAAACATGGTCTTTCGATATATGGTCTTTCGACAGGTCACGCCCCCCCCCCACGCACACAACCACCCACACATCACCACCCACACACAACCAAACACGAAACCACACACACATACAACCACGCACACAACTACACACACAACCACACAAACAATCACACACACACAACTACACGCTCAACCACTCACACAAACAATCACACAACTACACACACAACCACACACAACCACACACACAACCAATCACACACCAATCACATAACCATAACCCGTGAGTTAGGTACCCATCAGAGTTGGGTGTACTCAGGGACTTTCCACTAACTTGAACCCGGATTCGAACCAGAGTTTCTTCCACACATCTCTTCGGGGGGGGGGGGGGCGAAGAAAGTCTACCGCCCCCTCCCGAACGAGATGGATTTTATATAGTAAACATACACTTTTACTAGTGTCCGCCCCCCCCCCCCCCGAAAAATATTGACCCCCCCCCCGAAAATTTCAAGTGCCCCCCTCCCCCCCGGAGAAAAAAGTCTGGAAGAAACACTGATTCGAACTCAAGACAATCGAGTTAGCAGTCTAGCGAACCAATATGAAAATACATCCCCACACTTTATGATTCAGTTGTGACATTGTTTTTTTCCCTTAAAATTTCTAACCTCCCCCACCACTACCGGCCTCTCCTCCCCCCAGATGTCATCCATGTCGATCACGTGGTACATCAGTGCCGTGATTCTCTTCCTTGGAGTTCTCCCTTCCAACTGCCAGGATCACAAGGACCTTAACGGTACCGGCAGCGGCGACCCAGCTCCACATGGCGACAGCAACCAGACACGGACTACAGGTAAGTTTAACAATATTCTCATGTGAGGAGGCGGGCAAGGGGAGGGAGGGATGTTGGGAGTTATTTAACAACGAGGAGGGGGGTTATCCATCAAAGCGTCACAGTCGATCAGATACCTGATGTCAAATCTATCTAGTAAACAAGTGTTCGATAGCTAAGTTAACACAATTGTTTTTTTTTTTAAATTTCACATTTAAAAAAATATCTTGCACTGGTAAGTTGTACAGAGTTAAGAATATTATCAAACGTCATTGAAAGAACATGCGCAAGTAGGCCTATGCAGAGGCGTAGTGAGGGGGGGGGGCGGGTGTGTGGATCGCACCGGGTGACACCATTTAGGGGGGGGGGGGGGCAAAAAGTAGCAAAATATATATAGAAAAAGTGATAACTCCACTTAATTAAGTGATTAATACGAGTGTTAAATAGTCTTTTAAGAGGTGCAAAAAGAAAATTTGCGGGGGGGGGTGGGGGGGGGGGGGGGGGGCGGGTGTCGGAAATCGAAAAGGGTCGCTATGCCTCTGGGGGGTGGCACCATTAATTGCCGCCCCGGGTGACACCCCGTCCTCACTGCGCCACTGGGCCTATGTGTTGTTGTTTTATTTCCTCTGAATTGTTTACGCTCTTGTTTTGCCAAGAATTTGTTCACCAGAGAACATATCAGACAAAAGCCTAAGCGTGTGACAGTGTGACAAGAATTTGCCGACGTTCACCAGACAAAAGCCTTAGCGTGTGATAGTGTGGCAAGAATTTGCCGACGTTCACCAGACAAAAGCCTTAGCGTGTGATAGTGTGGCAAGAATTTGCCGACGTTCACCAGAGAACATAACAGACAAAAGCCTTAGCGTGTGATAGTGTGGCAAGAATTTGCCGACGTTCACCAGACAAAAGCCTTAGCGTGTGATAGTGTGGCAAGAATTTGCCGACGTTCACCAGAGAACATAACAGACAAAAGCCTTAGCGTGTGATAGTGTGGCAAGAATTTGCCGACGTTCACCAGAGAACATAACAGACAAAAGCCTTAGCGTGTGATAGTGTGGCAAGAATTTGCCGACGTTCACCAGACAAAAGCCTTAGCGTGTGATAGTGTGGCAAGAATTTGCCGACGTTCACCAGAGAACATAACAGACAAAAGCCTTAGCGTGTGATAGTGTGGCAAGAATTTGCCGACGTTCACCAGAGAACATAACAGACAAAAGCCTTAGCGTGTGATAGTGTGGCAAGAATTTGCCGACGTTCACCAGAGAACATAACAGACAAAAGCCTTAGCGTGTGATAGTGACTGTCATTTTATTTCTTCAGGTAACAACACGGGGCATCTGACGGTCCAGCACTTTGAAGAGCTGAGTCGAGAGCTAAAAGATCTGAGTCAGAGTGCCCAGGAGCTACAAAACATGACTCAGCAGACACTAGACTGGAGAAGAGTGCTAATGGTGATTGAGGAAATCCTACTCAACATGTTATTGTTTTTCTGGGGATTTTATGTAGGTAAGAATTGTACAGCTGAAGTTTAAACTGCAGAAAATAATGCTCCGGCACCGCCGTAAACTCAGGACAAGGTTTTTTTTACCTTAATATCAAGTATAGGTGACTGTTTTTTTTTTTAAAAATCTGGGATTTCTTCTTCGTTTTTAATTGAGATTCTGTCGGATGATTTAAACAAAAAGTCCAACTTCGTGGATGAACTGGACTGCGGTTTTCAGATATGCAGGCGCCCTATACAGTTTCCCCTTAAGTGGGGTGTATAGAGGCTAATGTTTAGACCGCGCCTAGGTGTACAAAGGGCAGGCGTAAAGGACGTGCTCTGCTTTCTCAGGGGCCATGCCACAAGTTTCGCCTGGACCAACGTTTAGTTTTTTTAAACATGTGGTGTTTTAGTCTATTGTGTCTGAAGATAATGTGTTGTTCTTGGCTTGCTAATGTGTAAAAATCCGTCGATTTTGTGTAGTTTGAGTGCGTGTCAAACCAAATGTGAGATTGTTTTGCTGTTTATGATTCTTTTTTATTTACTTTGGATGTAACAAGATTCCTGGTTGGTTTTCCTTTGCCCCGATTTTTTTTTAGAGCCTGCAAGACAGATTTTGCATCTGAAAGAAAGTCTGTCTAGTTGGGGATCCATGGTGATCTAACAGGAGGTTCGCTGCATGTTTCAAAGCTTCTTCCTCAGCTCTAAAAGTGCCAGATAGGCCAGATAGGCTGCCTGTCGTTATTAATTTTCTAAGCTTTCACCTTTTTGGCCATTCAATAGGAATCCCAGCCAAGCCATTTTTTGTGGCATCTTTAGCTGAGCCAACTGCATTATACCCTAATCCAAGTATTGCTGGGGTACTCTTCTTTAATGTGCTTGTATGTTATTTTCTCTAATTCTTCTTGATCGTAATCAGATGGTATCTATTGAGCCTCTGATGGTCAATGTACGGTAACAACACCTCGGCGGGGAGAGGTTTTGGGTTTTGATTGCTTCAGGAATAATGTTTTCTTTGAAGTCTATTTGATGAGCTGGGCTGCTTGAACTTCAGCTTTAGATGAGTTTTTGCTTTAGATTATAATTTCCAGTGCGTTCAGTTTTATGGATTGGGTGAGGATTTTAAAAAAAAAATTCTCTTCTCTCTTCCAGGAGTACGATATTACCGTATCAAGTGTAAAGAAAAGGACAATCGTGCTGTTTTAACCATGAGGGTACCGAACTTTGATTCTGGAACAACATTGGTAATGTACATGAGACCACCGGAAGGCGAATCCCGTCAAATACAAATCCACCGCACGGATGCGTCGTCTCCTGAGATTACTGTAGTGCCGCTTGGTGTTGTGCCTGACCCGCCGTCTCCTGAGATTACTGTAGTGCCGCTTGGTGTTGTGCCTGACCCGCCGTCCCCTGAGAATACTGTAGTGCCGCTTGGTGTTGTGCCTGACCCGCCGTCCCCTGAGAATACTGTAGTGCCGCTTGGTGTTGTGCCTGACCCGCCGTCCCCTGAGAATACTGTAGTGCCGCTTGGTGTTGTGCCTGACCCGCCGTCCCCTGAGAATACTGTAGTGCCGCTTGGTGTTGTGCCTGACCCGCCGTCCCCTGAGATTACTGTAGTGCCGCTTGGAGTTGTGCCTGACCCGCTCTCAATGACTACAGCTGTACCGATTAATGTGCCAGCTCCTGTACCCACCAACACAGCTAGCATGGCCGATTGAATCCCCATGTCTATATAAATGGTAGCCACACGACTTACTTTAAGTTGGCTGGTTTGGGCATTTGCCGTATGGGGGATCGTCCATCAATGACGCCATGTTTAGTTATAACTTTGATAAAGAGACAGCATAATCATCACTGATCCACATCAACTGCCCAATATTTGTGCTTTAAGTGCCCACTTAATATGTACACCCCCCCCCCCATCTACATTTCTTCTATTTTGATTTATTTAATTATTAAAAACAAAATATTTGCATTGTTTAAAAAATAAATACTGACCATAAGTCAACTATTATATGTCTTGTGTATTTTTTTTAAATTTAAATTTTATTTATTTTGACATAGATCTTTATAATGATTAAATGAGTTAAAGTTGAATCTGTTGTTAATTTTTTTAAAAATCTCGTTTCGTAATAAAATGTTTTAACTTTTTTTTCTGTTAAAAATGAGACTATTATTGTAAAAAAAATCGCCGTATTTTAAACTGCGCGGTCAAGTCAGTACAGCTCATGGTTACTGCACCGAAAAGTCACGAGTTCGAACCTCCGGGCAGATGAGGCTCGATAGCTGGGGCAGGTAACTCTTCTAGGAAAGACAACTCCAAAAGCAAACAACTTTTGCTTTGTAGTTTGTTCTTGGTTGGGCAAAGGCTATGGCAGCAAATCCAAAATGAAAAGCAGTTGACAGGTATACTTAATTGTGTTGGAGGGGATCCATTTCAACACTAAAATTATGAACGAAGAAGAAAAAGAAAAACAGAAAGTTGCAACTTATTAAATATGCAACTTAAAAATATAAACTCAATCTATAAAGTGTTTTGATACAATTTAAACAAGAAAAAAAATAAAATAAAAATACAACATTGAGTCAACAAAACTCAGAAGGTGTTTTAATTTCCACCCTCTTTATGTTAGCTGTAATGAGAAGCAAAGCAATTTGGAACAATATAACTTATTATACACATTGTGATCAAGCATGGATTACTGAGAAAAAAAAGCTTACACACTGCAGTAAACGGGCTTGTAAACTGCGTGTTTGAATTACAAGATGAAATAAAGCTATTCATAAAAGCACAAAAAAATAAACCGGGAGTGATCTCCCCTAAACTTTGTCGAATATTCTTATATAAAACAACAGGGGATGAGAACTCGGGCTATAGACATGATTTTAAATCCATTTTAAATACTTAAAGTTTTAAAAATAGAATAAAATCTCGTAGACAAAAGAATTGCACACCAAGTAAACGCCAAATAAAAAAGTGCATAATAGTGCGCAATATTATTAGTACTTTAGAAATTTACATGCGTTTTTTGAGAAATCGGAAATAGCGTAAAGTACTTCCGGTAAACGGAAATTACTCAAAATTTAATAGAAGGTTAGGAATTAGATCTTTTACTCACATGTGAAATTTCATTTATCTATGTGAAATAGTACTCAAGTTATAGGCTTTTGAAAAATTCAAAGTAGAAAAAGTACCACTTCCGGTTATCGGAAATCGCTCAAAAGTTGAAACGGATCTACGATTTTGATAAAATACTTATATATGAAATTTCATCAACCTAGCTGTAAAGGTACTCAAGTTATCGTGATGGGCAGCAGACTCACACCCGGGAAAGTAAAGGCGGCTGGAATTAGTGATGACAACACTATCCACGCGTATGTCAATGTCATTGAAACAGATGAACTCTACTTCATCTGTCAAAGATGATGATGATGCTAACCAAATCACAGTTTTAAATAGATCCTTGCACCCTTCAACATATCAGATGAGCTTCTTTATTTAAAGCATTCGTTTACCCCCGCCCCAACTAGTCTACACCCCCCACCCCACCAGGTTAGCCACACACAGCACCCCGTGCTACTAATAACCCAGGTGTATAGCTCATGGTAGCTAAACCGAAAAGTCCAGAGTTCGAACCCCCGGGCAGATGAGGCTCGACTGCTGGAGACAGCAACTCATCTAGGAGAGAAAACTCTAAGCAACTGATGCTAACACGGCACCACTGGGCGCATAACCTTCGAGTAAAAATCACCGCCCAGGGCGTAAGATTTTCTAGATAAACTTTAAGGGCCTGTGTTCGTGACCAAGACGAACCATCTAGATGTAGACATCCGGCCAGAGGCGTAGCGATGCTTCCCGGCGCCCGGGTACAAACTTACAATTTGGCGCCCCCCGGGTGCAAACTTTTGATTTGCACCCCCCCCCCCCCCCACAATCTTTCGATTTGCACCCCCACAAACTATAATTTGTTTTTCCAACCCATTTTGGCTTCCCTAAGGTCGGCGCCCGGGGACATATGTACCCCCCTCCCCGCCCCGCCCCCCCCCCTCGCTACATCTCTGCATGCGGTTGTGGTCAGGCATGGAGAGGGGTGGGCGCCGACATAGGACAATTAGCCCTAGACACATTACACTGATGCCACAACGACCCAAATACGGGATGATTTTAAAAAAAAAAAATTAAGAAAGAAACATAAGAACTCTCGTTTACCTACACTATAGACATTTCTACTGAATAAAATTGTCTATAATCTCTAATCTCTAACTCTATACTAAACATTGTAATTTTTTTTTTAAAAACTGCGACTCGTTATTGTAAACGAAGTTACAGTGAGCTGTGATACGGTAAGAAGCTTATAAAATGTTTTTCTAACTTAATATCTTTGAATATGTAAGGCGGTAAGTATTTAGATATTTTATTTTATGTTATAGATCTATAGATCTAGATCTAGTTATAGTTTATTACGGTATCCGGTCTGTAGATATTTTAGTCTAGATATTTTTTTGTATTATAGATCTAGATCTTGTTATAAATCTCTAGATCTAGATCTCTAGTACGATTTCCGGTCTTTTGATCTTTTTGTCATAGATCTAGACTTTAAAGAAAACATGGTCTTTCGATAAATGGTCTTTCGACAGGTCAACACCCCCCCCCCACGCGCACAACCACACACCCACACACACAACCACACACTTCACCACACGCACACAACCACCCACACTTCACCACCCACACACAACCAAACACGCAACCACCCACACACAACCACACACAAACAATCACACACACAACTACACGCTCAACCACACACAAAACCAATCACACACCAATCACATAACCATACACACAACCGCATACGCACACCCACACGCACAACCACACACACAACCACACACGCACACAACCACCCACACACAACCACCCACACACAACTAAACACGCAACCACACACACAACCACACACAACTACACACACAACCACCCACACACAACCACCCACACACAACCAAACACGCAACCACCCACACACAGCCACACACACAATCACAAACACAACCACACACAACTACACACACACAACCACACACACATACAACCACGCACACAACCACCACACACACAACCACACACACAATCACAAACACAACCACACACAACTACACACACACAACCACACACACATACAACCACGCACACAACTACACACACAACCACACAAACAATCACACACACACAACTACACACACAATAACACGCTTTTTTTGATGATTTTTACCTCCCCCCTCCCCCCCCCCCCGTCACACGTCGTCACAAAAAGCCAGACCCCCCCCCCTCTAAAATGACGTCACACCTCAACCTACAACCCCCCTCAAAATTGCAGTTGAATTTTTTTTAAACATCGATATTTTTCCAAAATGTTGTCTCAACCCTGTCAAAATAGAGTATTTTAATCAATTCCTATTACAATTTATTAAAAAAGTTATCTAAAACGCGAAATAACGTCTAAATTTGGTTTTCTAACATTGCTTTTTTTATAATGCGAAAATGTGACGTCGCAACAGCTGAACCCCTCCCCCCCCCCTCATCACACATCGTCACAAAATTACGAACCCCCCTCCCTCCTACGAGTGTGACGTCATTTATGGATGACCCCTTATATGTTTCTTGACCTCGGCATATAAAGTGATAATGTGGTCAGCACTATGCCTCGCCGCCTTTACTTTCCCTAACGTGAGTTAGGTACTCATCAGAGTTGGGTGGACTCAGGGAAGTTCCACTAACTTGAACCCGGGTTCGAACTCGAGACTATCGGGTTAGCAGTCTAGCGAAACAATATGAAAATTCACCCCCACACGTAAGACTTTATGACTCAGTTGTGACATTGTTTTTTTCCCCTAAAATTTCTAACCTCCCCCAACACTACCGGTCTTCTCCCCCCCCCCCCTCCAGATGTCACCCAGGTCGATCACGTGGTACATCAGTGCCGTGATTATCTTCCTTGAAGTTCTCCCTTCCAACTGCCAGGATCACAAGGACCTTAACGGTACCGGCAGCGGCGACCCAGCTCCACATGGCGACAGCAACCAGACACGGGCTACAGGTACGTTTAACAATATTCTCGTGTGAGGAGGCGGGCAGGAGGAGGGAGGGATGTTGGGAGTTGATTAACAACGAGGGGGGGGGGTCATCCATCAAAGCGTCACAGCCGATCAGATACCGGGTGTCAAATCTATCTAGTAAACAAGAGTTCGATAGCTAAATGAACACACTTGTTTTTTTTTTTAATTTCACATTTTAAAAAAATCTTGCACTGGTAAGTTGTACAGAGTTAAGAATATTATCAAACGTCACTGAAAGAACATGTGCAAGTAGGCCTATGCAGAGGCGTAGTGAGGGAGGGGGCGTTGGGTGCGTATGACACCAGGTGACACCATTTAGGGAGGTGACACCAAGGCAAAAAATAGCAAAATATATAGAGAAAAATGATAATTCCACTTAATTAAGTGATTAATTCGAGTGTTAAATAGTCTTTTAAGAGGTGCAAATCAAAAGTTTGAGGGTGCGTATGACACCAGGTGACACCATTTAGGGAGGTGACACCAAGGCAAAAAATAGCAAAATATATAGAGAAAAATGATAATTCCACTTAATTAAGTGATTAATTCGAGTGTTAAATAGTCTTTTAAGAGGTGCAAATCAAAAGTTTGAGGGTGCGTATGACACCAGGTGACACCATTTAGGGAGGTGACACCAAGGCAAAAAAATAGCAAAATATATAGAGAAACATGATAATTCCACTTAATTAAGTGATTAATTCGAGTGTTAAATAGTCTTTTAAGAGGTGCAAATCAAAAGTTTGAGGGTGCGTATGACACCAGGTGACACCATTTAGGGAGGTGACACCAAGGCAAAAAAATAGCAAAATATATAGAGAAAAATGATAATTCCACTTAATTAAGTGATTAATTCGAGTGTTAAATAGTCTTTTAAGAGGTGCAAATCAAAAGTTTGAGGGTGCGTATGACACCAGGTGACACCATTTAGGGAGGTGACACCAAGGCAAAAAATAGCAAAATATATAGAGAAAAATGATAATTCCACTTAATTAAGTGATTAATTCGAGTGTTAAATAGTCTTTTAAGAGGTGCAAATCAAAAGTTTGAGGGTGCGTATGACACCAGGTGACACCATTTAGGGAGGTGACACCAAGGCAAAAAATAGCAAAATATATAGAGAAAAATGATAATTCCACTTAATTAAGTGATTAATTCGAGTGTTAAATAGTCTTTTAAGAGGTGCAAATCAAAAGTTTGAGGGTGCGTATGACACCAGGTGACACCATTTAGGGAGGTGACACCAAGGCAAAAAATAGCAAAATATGTAGAGAAACATGATAATTCCACTTAATTAAGTGATTAATTCGAGTGTTAAATAGTCTTTTAAGAGGTGCAAATCAAAAGTTTGAGGGTGCGTATGACACCAGGTGACACCATTTAGGGAGGTGACACCAAGGCAAAAAATAGCAAAATATATAGAGAAAAATGATAATTCCACTTAATTAAGTGATTAATTCGAGTGTTAAATAGTCTTTTAAGAGGTGCAAATCAAAAGTTTGAGGGTGCGTATGACACCAGGTGACACCATTTAGGGAGGTGACACCAAGGCAAAAAAATAGCAAAATATATAGAGAAACATGATAATTCCACTTAATTAAGTGATTAATTCGAGTGTTAAATAGTCTTTTAAGAGGTGCAAATCAAAAGTTTGAGGGTGCGTATGACACCAGGTGACACCATTTAGGGAGGTGACACCAAGGCAAAAAAATAGCAAAATATATAGAGAAAAATGATAATTCCACTTAATTAAGTGATTAATTCGAGTGTTAAATAGTCTTTTAAGAGGTGCAAATCAAAAGTTTGAGGGTGCGTATGACACCAGGTGACACCATTTAGGGAGGTGACACCAAGGCAAAAAATAGCAAAATATATAGAGAAAAATGATAATTCCACTTAATTAAGTGATTAATTCGAGTGTTAAATAGTCTTTTAAGAGGTGCAAATCAAAAGTTTGAGGGTGCGTATGACACCAGGTGACACCATTTAGGGAGGTGACACCAAGGCAAAAAATAGCAAAATATATAGAGAAAAATGATAATTCCACTTAATTAAGTGATTAATTCGAGTGTTAAATAGTCTTTTAAGAGGTGCAAATCAAAAGTTTGAGGGTGCGTATGACACCAGGTGACACCATTTAGGGAGGTGACACCAAGGCAAAAAATAGCAAAATATGTAGAGAAACATGATAATTCCACTTAATTAAGTGATTAATTCGAGTGTTAAATAGTCTTTTAAGAGGTGCAAATCAAAAGTTTGAGGGTGCGTATGACACCAGGTGACACCATTTAGGGAGGTGACACCAAGGCAAAAAATAGCAAAATATATAGAGAAAAATGATAATTCCACTTAATTAAGTGATTAATTCGAGTGTTAAATAGTCTTTTAAGAGGTGCAAATCAAAAGTTTGAGGGTGCGTATGACACCAGGTGACACCATTTAGGGAGGTGACACCAAGGCAAAAAAATAGCAAAATATATAGAGAAAAATGATAATTCCACTTAATTAAGTGATTAATTCGAGTGTTAAATAGTCTTTTAAGAGGTGCAAATCAAAAGTTTGAGGGTGCGTATGACACCAGGTGACACCATTTAGGGAGGTGACACCAAGGCAAAAAATAGCAAAATATATAGAGAAAAATGATAATTCCACTTAATTAAGTGATTAATTCGAGTGTTAAATAGTCTTTTAAGAGGTGCAAATCAAAAGTTTGAGGGGGGGGGGGGGGTGGTGGAAATCGAAAAGGGTCTCTACGCCTCTGAGGGTGACACCATTAATTGGCGCACCGGGTGACACCCGACCTCGTTACGCCACTGGGCCTATGTTGCTGTTTTATTTCCTCTGAATTGTTTAAGCTCTTGTTTGCCAAGAATTTGTTCACCAGAGAACATATCAGACAAAAGCCTTAGGGTCTGACAGTGTGGCAAGAATTTGCCGACGTTCACCAGAGAACATATCAGACAAAAGCCTTAGCGTGTGATAGTGTGGCAAGAATTTGCCGACGTTCACCAGAGAACATATCAGACAAAAGCCTTAGCGTGTGATAGTGACCGTCATTTTATTTCTTCAGGTAACAACACGGGGTATCTGACGGTCCAGCACTTTGAAGAGCTGAGTCAAGAGCTAAAAGATCTGAGTCAGAGTGTCCAGGATATACAAAACATGACTCAGCAGCCACTGGACTGGAGAAGAGTGCTAAAGGGGATTGGTAAAATCCTACTCAACATCTTATTGTTTTGCGTCGGATTTTTCGCAGGTAGGTTGTACAGCTGAAGTTCAAACAGCAGAAAATAATAGTCCAGCAACTTCAAATATGATAGTTGTGTGATTTTTTTTTTTAATTTATGGCCGTGGCGTAGGATGTGTATGTGGCGTGGTGGTGGGGTGGGGGGGGGGGGGGGAGGGGGCGTTGATATTGCTATCACAATGAGTTTTTTACCCGACCTAAGGCACCGCCCTACACTCAGGACAAGATTTTTTTACTTCAATATCAAGTACGAGCCGACCCGCGGCATATCATACGCCGCTATTTAGTCGTTGTTTTTTCTACTTTTCAGTAATTCATAATCTGTGAATTCGACAGTACCAATGCTGCCACTGAAAATATTTGCTTTAAAACACTAAACCCCCCTCCCCCCTCCCCCGTGAAAGCAGCCTTCTCTTAGTTACCTCCTCTAAGTTTAAAATCGTTTCAAACTAAATTATCTGCCCCTAATAGCCGTCACCAAACCCGGCTCTACGATTGTAAAATGTAAACATTTAGCGTGAACCACAGCTAACCTGACCATGTGAGGGGGGTGGGGGGTGGTAGCGATAGAGAGGAAGAGAGGGGACTGCAAGGCGCGCTTGCAGCTTATTTTCTAACGTCTCCCAGAAGAGAACTATTATATATATAGATAGTTGACTGTTTTTTTTTTAATCTGGAATTTCTTCTTCGTTTTTAATTGAGATTATGTCGGATGATTTAAACAAAAAGTCCAACTTCGTGGATGAACTGGACTGCAGTTTTCAGATATGCAGGCGCCCTAATCAGTTTTCCCTTGAGTGGGGTGTATAGAGGCTAATGTTTAGACCGCGCCTAGGTGTACAAAGGGCAGGCGTAAAGGACGTGCTCTGCTTTCTCAGGGGCCATGCCACAAGGACAAGTTTTGCCTGGACCAACATTTAGTTTTTTTTTAAACATGTTCTGTTTCAGTCTATTGTGTCTGAAGATAATGTGTTGTTCTTGGCGTGCTAATGTGTAAAATCCGTCGTCTTTTGTGTAGTTTGAGTGCGTGTCAAACCAAATTTGAGATTGTTTGCTGTTTATGATTCTTTTTTATTTCCTTTGGATGTAACAAGATTCCTGGTTGGTTTTCCTTTGCCCCGATTTTTGCCAGCTAGTACGCCATCTCGTGTATCTGTGTGTATGTGTGTGGCCCGGGACCCATGGCATCGCCGCCATGCTGCATATGTTGTTTATGTCTCTCAAGGGCTGTCCTCAGTTATCGAGTTTAGGATACTGGTTTTTTTTCTAGAGCCTGCAAGATAGATTTTGCATCTTTAAGAAAGACTGTCTAGTTGGGGATCCATGGTGTTCTGACAGGAGGTTAGCTGCATGTTTTACAGCTTCTTTCTCAGCTACAAAAATGCCAGAGAGGCTGCCTGTACTTATTAATTTTCTAAGCTTTCACTTTTTGGCCATTCAATAAGAATTCCAGCCAAGCCATTTTTTTTGTGGCATCTTCAGCTGAGCCAACTGCATTATACCCTAATCCAAGTATTGCTGGGGTACTCTTCTTTTATGTGCTTGTATGTTATTTTCTCTAATTCTTCTTGATCGTAGTCAGATGGTATCTATTGAGCCTCTGATGGTTAATGTACGGTAACAACACCTCGGAAGGGAGAGGTTTTGATTGCTTCAGGAGAGATGTTTTCTTTGAAGTCTACTTGATGAGCTGGGTTGCTGTTGTTTCGGCTTTAGATTAAAATGTTCCAGTGCGTTCAGTTTTATGCATTTGGTGAGGATTTTTTTATTCTTTTCTTTCTTCCAGGAGTAAGATATTACCGTGCCAAGTGCGAAAAAGACAATGGTGCTGTTTTAACCATGAGGGTACCGAACTTTGATTCTGGAGCAACATTGGTAATGCACATGAGACCACCGGAAGGCGAATCCCGTCATATACAAATCCACCGCACGGATGCATCGTCCCCTGAGATTACTGTAGTGCCGCTTGGTGTTGTGCCTGACCCGCTCTCAATGACTACAGCTGTGCCGGCTAATGTGCCAGCTCCTGTACCCACCAACACAGTTAGCATGGCCGCTTGAATCCCCATGTCTATATAAATGGTAGCCACACGACTTACTTTAAGTTGTCTGGTTTGGGCATTTGCCGTATGGGGGATCGTCCACCAATGACGCCATGTTTAGTTTTAACTTTGATAAAGAGACACAGGCAGCATAATCATCACTGATTCACATCAACTGCCCAGTATTTGTGCTTTAAGTGCCCACTTAATATGTACACCCCCCATCTACATTTCTTCTATTTTGATTTATTTAATTATTAAAAACAAAATATTTGCATTGTTTAAAAAATAAACACTGACCATAAGTCAACTATTATATGTCTTGTGTATTACTCTACCATTAAAATATACAAAATAAACAACATACCCAGTGGCGTCGCTAGGTAGGGTGTCGAACCTAGTGGTGTTATCCCCGCCCCCGGAGAAAATTATATATATATATATATATATATATATATATATATATATATATATATATATATATATATATATATATATACTAGACTACCCGTTATCTAGTTAGATAAATGTGGGTTTCGGGGGTCATCCATAAATGACATTACGTCTGTCAGCACTTATCATCCCAAAATAACCAGACCCCACAATAAAAAAGACGTTTTTTATATTTTAAAAACTCTACTAAACTCTACTCCACCTGCCCAGTGTCCCGCCAAGTCTCAGACATGTTTGAATTTAAAAAAACGATTCCGGCCGAGCATGGCTCTGACCACACTATCCCTTCATATGCTGAGAACATAGAAACAGGTGAACTCTACTTCACCTGCCCTGTGTCGCATTCGGGCAAGTGTCCATTCGGGCATTTGTCGCATTCGGGCAAGTGTCCATTCGGGAAATCGGCCTTCGGGCAAACGTCATTCGGGCAAGTGTCTTTCGGGAATTTGTCGTAGACCCCTTATTTTGTGTGATCGATTTGAACAATTGGAAATGATTTGATTGTCGGGCTTGAGCAATGATAAAACAAAACTATTTAAAATTCTCGATTACATTTTTAAAGAAATGTATCTTCTACATTTACATTATTCAACAATGAGTAAAATTAATACCGAACTCAGTACTTGACAAACAAAAATCAACTTTTGCGATGCTTCATCACAAAAATATGAACACCTTACCTTTAGAAATAGCATTATGATTACACCTCCTATTAAAATATATAATTTTAAACTAAATTAACTGTTAGTATTTTTTTTTCTAGAAAACATTAATAAAGACACTTTTCCCACTATTCGCCTCGCTTTCCTCTCCTACCCCTCCCCAACATTTCTTACTTAAAACATCATTTGTGAGGTTTTTTTTATTGCCACCACCACTCGTGCCTAAAAGTTCATTTTAAACAACAAATACAATTACAAAGTCCATTCGATAAGACAAAGGTCTTGTACCCCGATTTTTCGTTTTCAGTGTTATCTTTATTATCAAAAGTCTCACCTCTTCAATTAATTTCGACCGTCTCTATTATAAAAATAATTAAACGAATTCTTTCCCCTAGCTTGTCTTCGAGATGCTCAAAGTTCAAGTATTGCTCATTTAAATTTAAATTTGCAATTTAAAGATTAAGATTCATCTCCATGTGGATCAAAGTATTCTGATGACATGGAGTATAAAAAGGCTAGCTAGGCCACTGGTTGGACAATGTATTTGATGATAGCTATTGACAAGCTGATTGTACTCATTACTGGTGTACTTCTGTATTTTTTAAAGGTTACAAGGTAAATAATAGTTTGGCGAATCTGTATCCTATTATTGATATATGGCAACTTTTTTTCTTTTTTTTTCGTACACAGACTATGGAGAATGTATTTTATTCGTGCCAAAAATGAAATGAAATTTTCAGTGTCCGCCGTTTTAAACTTTATACGGAAAATAAATAAAGGATGTATTGTAATCTTGAAAAAAAAGCTAAATCGTGATTTTGACAAACTTTGACGGTTTACAACCTTCTGGTGCCGGAAACAATTTAATTTTGCTGTCTCATGTCCGTCTGTGTGTGTTTGTGTTTGTTTGTGTATCTGTAAGCACAATAGTTTGATTACCGTCCAAGTACCGGAAACGATACCTAATCTACTTACGGTCTGTTAAAATCGATAATTTAAGTACCATTAAAATTATTTAGACAGCCTTTTACACACAAGTTATATTATACTCTATTATAACCATTTTTAGTTACGTAGGCGAAATTTTAATAATAAGTAAAATTTATTTTATATTAATCACTTTCAATGGTTAGTTGACTTCCGAATTCCGGAAGTGGTTCTTTACTTCTATTTTTTTTTAAATTATGAAAATACCAAATAACTTGAGTACTGTTTAGATAAGCTATACAAAATTTGATACACAGGGATAAAATCATATTCGTTGTGTTTATCATAATTTTAATGATTTCCGGTAATTACTATTGAAAAGTAATGAATGTTTCCTTTAAAAAGTACACATTTTCCGCTAAAACATTAAGAGTTGCATTCTTGTTTTGCGTGGTTCTATTCTTTTAAAAATGTAAGTACTTGAAAAAAGTAACAAAAGCAATTTCATAGCACTAGAAATGACAATCGCCTACTATTATTTAAGAATATACGCGAAAGTGTGAGGGAATTCACTCACGCTTTATTTAAATACACTGGCAATGCGAAATTCGAGTTTAATTTGTTCAGTAACATTGCTCGTAGGTCACATTACAGGTTTATCAAAAACCATTTTCTTCATTGAAATTAATGTGATACAGCCCCTGAAATGCCATCCCATTTTTTAAATCTTTAGTAGAAATGTAATTTATTTCCTAAACCCAGGAAATTCCTGGTATGTGCTGCTTAATAATCTCATAATTCACGGTTGATTACAGAAAGACTTTTCAGAAATGCCAGTGCAGGGCCTGTCCAGGACAGTATGTAAAACAATAATCGTAATCGTAAGCGTAATCGTAAGCGAAAGCGTAACCAGAACTATAACCGTAACCGTAACCTTAAAGGTAACCGTAACCGTCAACGTCAACATAAAGCTATTATTTCCGTAAGCAGGCCAAAATGCTTTAAGGAAAACTATAGAGTTAGTTTAGAAAGTATATTTCAAAAACTTACCGAAAACAGAACTAAATTAATTAAAATTAATTAACTTTATTACAAGGGGGGGGGGGAGGGGAAGTACTGTGGAGAAGTATTTCATCATCATCATCATCATTCCTTTGTGGCCCCTGGGGAGTAAAGGGCTGCAACCACACATCTCCATCGGGCTCGGATTTGGGCTGCCCCCTTTATCTGTGCCCATGTGTGCCCAGCTGTTTTCGCCTCTTCTTCAACCGTTCTTCTCCATGTCTTCCGTGGCCGGCCCACCCTCCTTTTTCCCTGGGGATTCCAGTCCAAAGCATGCCTTGCGATGTTTTCTTTCTCTTTTCTTAATGTGTGTCCAATCCATCCCCATTTACGGGCCTTGATATCTGCCTCTATTGACTGTTGCTTTAAAGTTCGCCACAGGTCTTTGTTTGATATTTTGTCTGTCCATCTTATTTTAAGTATATGTCGTAAGCATTTGTTTACGAATGCCTGTAGCTTATCAGTATTTGTCTTCGTGACCCTCCAAGTCTCCGAGCCATAGAGCAGCACTGCCTTGACATTTGTGTTGAAAATCCCAATTTTTCTCCGGAGTGACAGGGCCGTGGACCTCCACATCGGGCGCAGTGAGTTGAAGGCACATCTAGCCTTGTTGATTCGACATGTTATGTCCTCGTCTTCTCCCCCGTCCTTATTGATCACGCTTCCCAGATATGTGAAAGTGTTTGTTTCACGTAAATCTTCTCCATTTAGCTGTATGGGCAGGTCCTGGCTGTTATTTATTCTGATGACCTCTGTTTTATTTTTATTGATTTTTAGTCCAACTTTGGAGGCTTCTTCATATAGCCGATTTAGTTTGGCTTGCGTATGTTGATGCTTGTGAGATAGTAGGCAGATGTCATCGGCAAAATCAAGATCCTCCAGCCTTTTGGAGAAACTACAATGGATTCCTGTGTCGTTTTTTTGTGGTTTTCAACATGATCCAGTCGATTACCATCAAGACTATCATTGGCGATAGCATACATCCCTTTCTTACTCCAGTCGTCACCGTGAATGGTTTTGTTAGTTTTCCCTTGTGTATTACCTGACTGGTGGAGTCTTCGTATAGTTTCTGTGTGATAGATATAAATTTGTTGGGTATTGCATAGTGGCTCATTAACTTCCAGATAGCATGTCTATTCACACTGTTAAACGCCTTTTCGAAGTCGACAAAAGTCATGTATTTAGGGGGATTGCCACTCAAGAGACTGTTCGATAATGATCAGTACATGACCTTTCTTGACGAAAACCAGCTTGTTCTTGTCAGCTTTTTGTCCAAGGCCTCTCTAAGTCTCTCTAGGATGATTCTTGTCAGCACCTTACTTGGGACTGAAAGAAGCATTATCCCTCTCCAGTCGTTGCATTGTGTAAGGTCTTCTTTCTTTGGCAGTTTTATCAGGTATCCCAGTTTCCAGTCAGACGAGTTTATCTCTTCTTCCCAAATCTGCTTAAGTAGAGGAAGTAGTATGTCTGCTGATATGGCTGGGTCTGCTTTGAGTGCCTCTGGTGGGATGCCGTCGTCCGGGCCAGCTGCTTTGCCATTTTTCATGTTCTTTATTGCTCCTATTGTTTCTAACTTTGTGGGTGGATCTGTACACACATTTAGTAGGTGGTTTGCAGGTGGAATTTTTCTTTTTCTCTTTTTCATCCTTACATTTGTTCATATTTTGCTTTATCTCTTTTCTATCTTCAATTTTGGCCCATGTCTCTGTTGTGATCCATTCTTTTTGTTCATTTTTTCTTCTTCCCAATATGTCAGTGCATGTTGACTTCCATAGACCTGTATTCCTAGCCATTTTTGCTATACTGTTTCTTCTGCCAGGCTGGAGAGTGCTTCATACCTATTTTTTACTGCGCAGTTAAAGTTTTCCTTTATTTTTGGACTCCTTTGCGCTTTTTTTCTGTGTGCGCTTTTTTCTCTTTGCGCTTTTTTCTGTTTGCGCTTTTTTCTCTTTGCGCTTTTTTCTGTGTGCGCTTTTTTCTCTTTGCGCTTTTTTTTGTGTGCGCTTTTTTCCGTTGCGCTTTTTGTTTTGCGCTTTTTTCCGTTGCGCTTTTCTCCGTTGCGGTTCTTTCTGGGAACCCTTTATTTTCTGTTCCAACTTTGGCATTCATGTCTCCCATCACTATCTTTATATCTCTATTTGGTGATTTGTCATTTTGAGCTTGCAGGTCATCTTTCTCCTCACCTGTTGCAGCATTTGTGGGTGCATAGCACTGGATTAAAGTTGTTTTCCTTCCCTTGGCATTGAAACGAGCTGCTATGAGTAGTGGCGAGACTGGTTCCCATGCAATCAAAGCATTTGTTGCTTCTGTAGACATCATTATGGCTACACCTTGCGTGTGTTCATGATCTTCGTCCTCGTGGCCTGAGTAGATGACAGTCTCTCCCGAGACCAACCTAGTTTGGACACTGCCGTTCCATCGTGTCTCACTTAATCCTAGGACTTTTAATTTATACCTCCTCATTTCTTTGGCGACCTGGGCTGATCTGCTGCTTTCATATAGGGTTCTGATGTTCCAGGTCCCTAATCTGGTTTTAGTCTTGGGCGTTAGGAGATTTGTTAGCAAACTAGCTTCCGTTAGGCTTTCACTAATAGGTATCATGGGCTCTTCTAGAGAGGAACCTCCTCGACCTAGTTGGTGTTGTGTTTGTGTACTTGCAGTTTCTGTAGCGGTATATTTTTTTATGAGATAAGGTTGCTAGCCTTATGTTTCAACCCCCAACCTGGAGGACCAGGGTGTTAGCTTTGGTCTGATCTTCCCAGCTTGGTTGAACCTACTAGGAGTTTACACTACCGCTGTTATAGCTCTGGGGGTGGTCAGGATACACAAGCTGCCAAGCCACGACAAGGCTCTAACACCAGATGGCAGGGAGAAGTATTTACGATTCTAATAATAATTTATATAAATCTATACAGCAACATGTAAAACGAAAATAGATATATCCTTGTAACACTCGCTCAATGGGGATGCTTATTACCTACTGAGGTGTTGTGGGGATGACCCCGAGAAATAGCACACACTGGAACAACGCTGTTGTTGTCAAATACTGGCTTTATTGACATTAACATCAAGCCATAAACGGCGATGTAGAACAGTATAAAACACTGTTGGAACCGGTGAACAAAACAGTAGAAAACAGAATGTAGCCCTAAAACAAATATAAACAGCAGGTTACATCACTAAAAATACCATTTGTAGGCTACATAAATACACGGAAGTAATAAAATATGTTACGACCAGTACACAATACTGCCAACAAGTACCAATAAGTAGTACAATACTAAATACTTAAATAAATACTTAACCTAATTGTGTGCAACATGCAGTACTAGCAGGAATCCGTGTCCACAGCAGCTTTGGGTCTGACTGTCACGGCCACAGGCTCAAACTACCCATAACAACCCAATAAATTACAACTTATACTTTATCCTCCTTGACCGGTAACCATATGTGTTACATCCTTATTATTTTATTTTGTCATGATCAGCGCATTCTATGTTAAGCTATGAGAATATCTAATCTAAACGAATTTTTCAACTTTTGAATGGGCCTATGATGGAAGCCGCCATTTTATTGTACTAAAAGAGTAAACAAAAAAATGTGACGTCACTGTTTCGTTGAGTCTA